TGTAGAAATTAAATTAAAAAAATATAAGATTTCCAAATCAAATTATCATTCTCCATAAATACCATGATCTGAACTATTTATCAAATTGTGAACATTCACTTTACTAATACATGTACATACAGTAATTACTGAATATACTGTTCTACAAGTAGTAATACACAGATACATACGTTAACTCATGAACCTTTACTAATTATACAACTAATACATACTATTTGCATAAATATAACAGTGGCTAGGTTAATGGTTCATAAAAATAAAATATAAATCATAAAAGATACCGTACTGTCTGACATCAACACCTACCCCAGATAGGGAAACACTGGTACATCAGAACGTACTCAACAGACAAACAGACTAGTGTGACACTGTAGAATTGACTGATCTATCTGTAAACAATACCCTTATCTTTATAGTCTGATAGTAAGAATAAAATCATAATACAAAAACAATTGGCATTATTCAGGTATTTCACCTAACTTGCAAAGTTTGACAACATTGCTATAATATAATCCAATCTCATAATCATGCACTTTCATAATATCTTAAAATATATATCACATCATAATGCACACTCTTAGTGTTACTCTACATGCATCTTCATTTCTCATGAATACTTACAAACTTCTTCTCTACAGGAGTCTTTGTTTCAAAAACAATTCACAAATGGCGCACACGAGAAAAATAATCTCAATGACCAATGATGACCAAGTTTTGACATTAATTCAAAAACTTCTCTTTCAAAACCAATATCATATTCTAAATGGAAATAATGTGAAATATAAATTACAATATTTTCATTACTATGAAATTACACAAAACCTATTATACCTAGTTGCATTATTTGGAGAGTATACAGATTAAAAAAATATTCATTGCATAACATCTTTACAATGACATTGAACGTAATCCGCAGTGGTCAAGTGGTTAACGCAGAGCTCCTTGAACAACAAATCACGACAACCCTGGTTCAAATCCCAGTCGTGGTAAAAACATTTTTTTTCTTTTCTATATATATACATAAAATTTGTTTTAAAATATACAACTCTTACATATTCCCCCACTTTATTTTTGCTGACCACAGCAAAAGAATAACTTGAAATACTCAGGGAACATGAAGAAAATTACACTGAAACACCCAATTTGTGTCTATAAATGTCCATTTAAGACGATGTCCAAGCCTCACTCAATTTCGTAGCTAGCGTCGATCCTAAATTGGTTATGGCATCACTAAGTTCTTGGAAACTTTTCGTTTTCACTTCTCGCGAACACACTGCTGACTTCGGCAATCGATGTGGATTGGAATGTTTTCCGGCAGTGGTCCTTGTTGAACGTCTGATCGGCTTCACAGAGGGCTCAGAATTTTGTGAAACTTCATCTGTCGGATCACAACAATTTGGGGTCGGTTCGGCTTCATTCTGACTGTTGAATTCATATTGACTCTGTTGGATAGTGCCAATAAATGATTCCTCGGAATCGGAGTCGTTAGAATCCGAATTAGTAACGGGAATTTCCTCTTGTACTTCGTTAGGGATGACCTCACCAGTGTCCAAGATTTCGCGTCTTGTTACATTTTTCACAGGTCCTGATCCATCGGCTAACTGAATTGAATACACATTGTCTCCTAGTGAATCAATCACTTTGTATGGGGTCGAATCCTACATGTCCTGAATCTTATTTCTACCTTGGATTCGATTACGCTTTAACACACGGGTTCCAACTGGAATTGGATGCTCGTTTGTATTGCGGTTGAACTGTTCTTTTCGTTTTTCTGCATTGTTCTCCAAGTTTCTCTTTGCGTTCTCGAAAGCTGTTTCAAGTTTATCCTTGTGTTTGGATACATATTCACTAACATTGAAGGTATTTGTTGAAGCAGAACTGGTATCGACAATTCCTAGTAAATGATCTATAGGTGGAATAGGATCACGGCCAAACATGAGGAAATAAGGTGTGTATCCTGTGGAAGAATGAATCGTCGAGTTGTAAATGTAGACTAACTCGGATAGGTATTCTGGCCATTTCCGCTTCTGTTCTACAGAGAGAGTTCTGAGCAAGTTGTGCATAGTTCTGTTGTAACGTTCAACCTGACCATTGCCCTCGGGATGATATGGAGTAGTTCTACTTTTCGCTATATGATACATGTCGCACAATTCCTTCACAATGTTACTTTCAAAATTCTTCCCTTGATCGCTATGTATACGACGAGGAATGCCAAACTTGGAAAACCAATCCTTCAACAGTACTTTAGCTACCGGAACCGCTTTCTGATCCTTGGTAGGTATAGCCTGTGTAAACTTACTGAAAATGTCAGTGAGAACAAGAACATTTTCCCTTCCATCTGAAGCAGGTTCCATGACAGTGAAATCGATTGCAAGTATTTCCTGAGGTTGGTAAGCTAACAAATTGGAAATTGGTGTTCGAATGTTAGGAAGAGGAGCTTTCGCTATCAAACATCTTTCACATTTCTTGCAGTGAGATTCAACATCCTTAACCATGGTCGGCCAGTAACAGCGCTTACGAACTAGAGATAAAGTTCGTTCGTTTCCTTGGTGTCCAGCGTTATTATGTAATGATTCTAACACATGCTGTTTCAACACTGTTGGAAGAACAATCTGTTGAATAGGTCTAATTTCTGATTCCATCCTTCTATACAAGATGTTATCATCAAAGTGTAACCGATCTCGCTGTTTCCTCGCTTCCTAACGTCAAGTTTTTCCAGGTTCAATAGATCAGCAGATGGTTTCATAGAACTTCTCAACCAATGAATGACTCGACTAATCACAGGGTCAATTTCTTGTAGTGAGGTTAATTCAGCGATCTCATAACCAGGAAATGAGTTGGTAGATTCTATCGTGGCTAATTCTGCATGATCAGAGCTCATTCGCACAGTGGTAACAGGTAAAGGTCCATCCAAGACATTCTTAAGATGGAAACTACAAACAATATTCTGAATTGTTGCTTCAGAATCACAAGTCACAGTCCTAGACTTCGGAACAGGTCTTCGACTCAATGCATCTGCGTTACGATTCGATTTTCCAGAATGGAATTTGACCTGAAAGTCAAACTATGCTAACTGACTTGCCCATCTCATCTCAGTAGCTCCCAACTTAGCTGTCTGTAAGTAGTTCAGTGGATTATTGTCTGTATAGACCACGAAACGAGATCCTAACAAATAAACCCGGATTTTTTCGGTCACTGCCCATTTCAAAGCAAGTAGCTCCAACTTCATTGAGCTGTAGTTGTTCATGTTCTTTTCTTGAGGTCTGAGAGTTCGTGGTGCAAACGCAATGACAACTTTGCCTTCGTCTTGTTGCTGGGATAAGACTGCACCTAGTCCATCCATACTAGCATCAGTTTCTACAATGAATTCACACTTAAAATCTGGATATCCAAGTATTGGCTAGGATGCGAGATTCTGTTTCAAGGTTTCAAATGTATCATCACAATGTTTCGTCCAAGATTCCTGAATTGATGTTTGTTTTAATTTCTTTCTCTTTGATAACTTTCCACCAGATACAAGTTCATGCAATGGTCTAGCAATTTTAGAAAAGTCTTTCACAAAGCGTCGATAGTATCCAGCAATTCCTAAGAATGATCGTAGCTCTTTCTCATTAGTTGGGTTTAGGCCACGATTTGACTGCATCAATTTTCTCAGGATCTGTAGAGATTCCTTCAGAAGAAACAATGTGTCCGAGATATTTTACGGATTTTTGAAATAGTTTGCACTTAGACGGTTTCATTTTAAGTCCATGCTGTTTGAGTTTCGTAAATACAATGTCAAGTCTTTCCATATGTTCTTCAATGGTGTTAGAAAAGACTAAAATATCATCAAGATAGAGTACCAGAATTTCAAAGTTTTCTTCACTAAAATAAGTCGCTGGAATGTCGCTGGAGCGTTACATAATCCGAAAGGCATTCGTAGATATTCGTATAACCCTCCAGTGCCAACTCTGAATGCTGTTTTCTGAATTGATTCTGTGTCCATCTCCACTTGGTGATACCGTTGAGCTAAGTCAATAGAACTGAAGTATTTGGCGCCGTGTAACAGATCCAGAGTCTTTTCGATTCTTGGAAGCGGATATGCATCCTTAATGTTCTTGATTTGAATTCAAACACTCGACGCTTTGTTTGTTTACTTTCGCTACTGTTTCTGCATTCGGTTTGTCATCCACCCACTGAAGGATTTGTCCTCTGAATTCTAGAAATGGCATTTTGGAATGTTCGAAATCAAACCTTCGTAATTCTCGTTTTAACTGTGGATCACGCACACCATCAACGAATTTGTCTATTAGAATTTTATCAAAATGTTTCATATCACTTCCTTCTTTCTTAGCGATCCTAGTTGCCATCTTCAGTAGAGCTAATGAATACGTTTCTATGGTTTCATTTTCTTTCTGTACTCTTTCGTAGAAAGTTTGTCTTAATTGCGAAACAGTTTCTTGTACAAGATATACGCTTTCAATGATCGTGAAAATATCGTCTGGTGTTTTCTTACTCTCTGCTGGTCTAAGTCTCACTTCGCTTTTTGCGGTTCCTTCCATATGATCTAGAATAAATTCAATTTTCTTGTCATTAGATTGAATACTGTGTAAATGTTCACGCATGTCCATTAACCAGTCCTCGACATCTGGATCAGAGTCTTTTACAGGTCTTACAGAGAATTTCGGTAGTTTTCTCTCAGTCCTTATGTATAAAGGTTGTGGAGGAGGTTTAGCACTTGCCAGGTCCCACAATTGTTTCTGTAATTTTTCCACTTCAGCCTGGACTTGTTCGACTTCCATTTTGAATGAATCAATATGATAGAAAGCTTGTGCGAAAATGTCAAAATGGTGACAATCTAAATTACTCACTATATGTAAGCTAATCTAAATCATGATTATCAATATGAATGGAAGAATACAACAGAATTCAACATCAATATTATGCTGCTCTGGTCTGTCTCCTGGTCCACCAGTCACATCACCATATCTCTACCTCTGAGAATCCCACCGCTGCCACCATTGTAAGAAACTGGATTCTTTTATTCTCTCTTGACTTTATTCATCAAGTATCATGAGTAGTATATACAGGTGATATAAAGGTGATGGATCTACAAAACACAGTTACAAGTTGTTGTAGAAATTAAATTAAAAAAATATAAGATTTCCAAATCAAATTATCATTCTCCATAAATACCATGATCTGAACTATTTATTACTGAATTTACTGTTCTACAAGTAGTAATACACAGATACATACGTTAACTCATGAACCTTTACTAATTATACAACTAATACATACTATTTGCATAAATATAACAGTGGCTAGGTTAATGGTTCATAAAAATAAAATATAAATCATAAAAGATACCGTACTGTCTGACATCAACACCTACCCCAGATAGGGAAACACTGGTACATCAGAACGTACTCAACAGACAAACAGACTAGTGTGACACTGTAGAATTGACTGATCTATCTGTAAACAATACCCTTATCTTTATAGTCTGATAATAAGAATAAAATCATAATACAAAAACAATTGGCATTACTCAGGTATTTCACCTAACTTGCAAAGTTTGACATGCAACATTGCTATAATATAATCCAATCTCATAATCATGCACTTTCATAATATCTTAAAATATATATCACATCATAATGCACACTCTTAGTGTTACTCTACATGCATCTCCATTTCTCATGAATACTTACAAACTTCTTCTCTACAGGAGTCTTTGTTTCAAAAACAATTCACAAATGGCGCACACGACAAAAATAATCTCAATGACCAATGATGACCAAGTTTTGACATTAATTCAAAAAATTCTCTTTCAAAACCAATATCATATTCTAAATGGAAATAATGTGAAATATAAATTACAATATTTTCATTACTATGAAACTACACAAAACCTATTATACCTAGTTGCATTATTTGGAGAGTATACAGATTAAAAAAATATTCATTGCATAACATCTTTACAATGACATTGAACGTAATCCGCAGTGGTCAAGTGGTTAACGCAGAGCTCCTTGAACAACAAATCACGACAACCCTGGTCAAATCCCAGTCGTGGTAAAAACTTTTTTTTTTCTTTTCTATATATATACATAAAATTTGTTTTAAAATATACAACTCTTACAATACTACATATTAAGATGTGATTACTTTTCAAAACATCTCTGCTCAGCTCAGGAGAAAATGTGATTTTCAAATTTAAGCTCCTCCCATTTCCTTTTATACCCCAGGCCTGGGTTTAAACGACGTGTTTTACCGGAATCCGCTACATGGTATCAATGTTAAGTAGGAAATTCCAGGATAACATTGTAGCGAAAATGACCGTATGGAAATACCTCTTTAAAATCACACACTTTCTTTCTCAAAAATAGTATTTCCCGTTTTATTCCAATTTCTTACTAACCTATAAACCTCTTCATTTTCAAATAGTCATCAATTTAATAGCAAACATTTGTTTAAATATGGCCCTAGTATTTAGTAATGCAGTCATACTAAAATTCATGAACACAAAGTCTCGCAAAGTTTACAAAGTCAAGTCAAATGAAAAATGATACTTAACATATGCCTTCTTCTTTGTCCTTTTTTGATTGAATCAAAAATGAAATATTGTCATAAAAATATTAATAATTCATGAAGAAAAAACTAAAATATAACTTCCCCTGTAAACAAAATACACATCTTAATTATACAGCTTTTGGGATGTGGAATTGTTACAGTGATTTACAAAATTTTCATTGTGTGATTTACTTACATGCAAACACACTATACCACTTTAAGATGAGTTTAGTGTAAACTTCATATTAAAATGCTTAATACTGAAGTAACCAAAAATTACTTTGAATATTCCATTCTCATAAGCAAGAATTTCCACATTCCATGCAATATTCTCGTATTCGTTGTTTGTCCAAACATTTATGATTTGTTTTCCCACTAGAGAAGATTGAACCACTAAGTCTTCCTGTTGGGTACTTTGAATTCCCTTTTTAGTTTTATAATACTCTTCAGGTTTTCAATTAATATTTCTAGACTAAAGACTTTTCCTTTCTCTGAAGATTTAATTAAACTTTTATGTTTTCTTAAAGGGGAAATATTGTTTTATATAGAATCGATTCAATTGCTTTTTAACTGTCGAGATTTTTTCCGTCTTCTTCTTTATATTTTCTAAGGTAATGTCAACCTTTACTTTCACAGTCCCACAATCCATCATCCAAAATCGACTCTACTGTTTCATTAACTTTTCTTTCCTCCCTCTCTTTCATTGCTTTAACACTGTCTTGTCGTTCTTTTATAATTTTGAAGTGATTTGAAACAGTATTTTTTTTTCCAATTTATTCTTTGACAACACCTCTCTTCCTTCCTTCCTCACGTTACTTTACAGTTCTTCCTTTTCTGGCGTTGTTTTCCTTTCAACCGGTCACTTGTCTTATTGTCACAAAATAAAATATGGTTCTCAATGCTGAAAACACTAGATGTTGGTGTGTCTATCTTTTCCTGTTTTATGGCCCCTTATACCAATAAATAAAAAAATACTCTGATTTAAGCAATTTAGAAATAAAAGCATTAAACTTGTACGGTACAGGTGAAGGGCTTGAGAACAGGTTTATCATATGTATAGAGTACTTGGGTAAATAGACTAGGACTGAATTGAATTCAATCATTTCCAGGTAATTTATAATTTTATGTTGCTTTATGGTTCTTTAACATATAACCACCTAGAGATCAAAATGTAGACAAGCACTGTGGTTCTTTTTCTTATAAGTACACTACCTGTAATTATTTTGAATTGAAGCAATATGACCTAACTCTCCGAATAGGCTAAAACATGAGATTTAGTTCTATATCACACAATAAGTACTGTGAGAAGTTGTGTATTCAGAGTTCTTGCTTTGCAAGTGCCATTCTGAAATTTTATTCCTTATATTGAATTTTATGTAATCAAGAACTTTAACATGCAGTTGAAATAAATGTTATTTTATCACAACCTCACAGTTTTTAAAAATAAAATCTGCTATAAAAGAAGACCATCAATATCATATCTCACCCTTTCTTACCCGACGACTTTAAACATTAAAAAAAGAAATAGAAGACGTATTTTCATATTTCATTAATTTTTATTCCCAATTTTTAAAATAAATGTAAAATGGATATTAGAAATGAAAAAAAAAACTTGAAACAATTATAAATTGTAAGACTAGTTAGTGCAATGTATTGCAGTAATACAAATACAAATTATTGCATCATTTTGAACAGATTTGACACAATATAGTCAAGAAAATAAACTCAATAATTAGGTTAGGATGAGTATTGTTAAACTAAACTACATGTTTAAACTTTTCTGTCCGTACATTAATTGATCTTGGTCTTGAAAGTGGCAATAAATGTAAACATACATATTTGAGAAGTAATCATATTCCAGTTTAGTTAACACCTATTCAAAACTTAAACATGCTTTTGAAAAAAGAATGCACCAATTCCAGTTACGACGGCAAGTTTTAATGTGATATTTTATGTATATATTTAGTTTTAGCAAAGGAAAATGAAATAAATCCCTAGAAAAAAAACTCACACACATTTAACACCCTAGCTACCCAAGTATAATTATAAACATTGCTTGGAACCAAAAAAAATGCATGCACTGTCAACGTTATAAAATGTATTGCATTCAAGCAGAAAGACATTGAAATGTACATCATTTGTCTCACAAGGAAACATATAAACAAAAGAGCATATTGTAAAATTCTAATTTTTTAAGGCCGTTTGATTGTGTTACACAAATAGGCTCCGTAAGTCTCGGCACGTGACTTCCGTGATAGTGCGAGATTATTTACTTCCGGGCAATCGGCAGTCGAAGTTATGGCGTTGTCCATAGTTTACTGGGCATCATATGTTGAAGGCCACGGAAAGTTAACCAGGAAGAGTGAGGCAGCGGTGGAGAGTGACCGAGTATTGAAATTTGTTTTTGACAGGGAATTGCGATTCATTAATTCATCGGTTCAGGCCTCCATGCGAAATACATCCTACAAAGTTCAAGTGAGTGCACGCTTCTTCAGTTCTTGTTTATACTTCGCTCATGTCACCTTGCAGTTAAGTTGTTTATTTAGTCGAATTTTTTTGTTATTAATTAACCTATGCAAATACCTGTCATACTGTACACTGTATTTACTGTAGTACAAAACGAACTTAACATATTCCAATATGTAGAAATGTATTTTCAGGGACGTATATTCTGTTAAATTAGTGTCGAGATTTATAACATTCTCAGTAAAAGGCATTATGTACTCAGAGTAGGAAAAAAGATATTTGTGGTTCACTGTTTATTAACTATATTATTTTTTTAAATGAAAATGATTTCATCATTTGAGCAGATTTTTCTTGAAGAGAGTGACAATGAGAATGTGAGGGATACTACTTGTCAGTGTCCTATGGGAGAATTTAAATGTCACCATGTTGCAGCAACCCTACTCTTTGGGTAAGATTAAATAAATACACTTAGTCTGAAACCTTTATGGAATCAGTTGCGGATTCAGGGGGTTTGGGGGTATTAAACAATGTCATTTTGTTGATTTGATAAGACTCAGTCAGTGATAAACACGAATCCATTGTTCTGTATATCTGTGAAAAATACATTAAATACGTAACAGGAAATCACTTTCAATTTTACCATACGGAGTATTTATATCTCAGTTGATTCGATACGCAAGAGCATGCTCTACGTATGAACAATTTCTGAAACGAGTTAAATTATTGACAAGCAAGTTGATGAAACAAGAATATCAACAGTCTCGTTTAAAGTCATCATTTCGTAAATTCTATGGTCGATACAATGACCTTGTCAGCTAATACAATTTATCACTGAATGAAATGCTGACTGACGTTTTTCATACCAATTGTTAGTCCATTATTTATACACTGTATTGATTACGGATTTTTTCCGTTATTTCCTGATTATGACTACGAGCACACGGCGGGTGTGACCGGTCAGCAGGGGATGCTCACTCCTCCATGGCACCTGATCCCACCTCTGATGTTTCGGAGGTCCGTGTTTGCTCTGCTCTTATTTTGTATATTTATTTAATGGACGTTGACATTGAATACTGTTCGTTATTTCCATATCCTTCTTAGACTAACTTTACAAATATTAAATTTGAAATTATAAGAGAGCAAGCAAAACGGACGTCAAATGTAGCTGGCTAAAACACCCTAAATCGGCACCACCCAGGAGAACAGTGACAATGGAGGAACTGTATCCATCTAATCAGCCTAACTACAGGTACCTGCTTCATTTATATCATTCATGGAATAACTGTTAATTTTTTTTTCATGATGTGATCAATTGATTGGCTTACTTCATAATTTGCATAAACGCTTTCGTCATGAAATCAAAAAATGCGTCAGTAATTCCATAAATTTATATACAAACGCATGATTCCACCTTTCCATTTGCTACAATCCCCGCTTCTTCTCGGTCTTTGTCCTGCCCTGCACTATTTTTTTAACCGCGCTTATCGATGAATTAGTACATTGATGGAGAAAATAGAGTAAGTTAATAATTAGTAATTTTACCTCTTACAAAGACATTGGAAATGTTAATATTAATTATAATTTTCAAAGATACAAGTATTTGATTTAATTATGTACATTTGCAGGTTACTATTTTTATGTGATGAAAATGTTTTAACAACAACAAAAATGAAAAATAAAACCTCATGTCTATTTGCATCATAATCACTGATTGAAAAAAAACATGAAAGTGTTTAAGATTGCCTGATTTTCCATAAAACAGAGCACTTAAAAGAGTTGTAGCTGATGAGGATAGATTATTTTGGAGAAAACTCCTTGGGCAGTTGGGGCGGTTCACAGGTTGTTTTTATCTTTCTGAAAATGGAATTCCTTTCTGATTATAAGCTTTCTTATTGATGGATTTTTATCCTTTGAATTATTTTTTGTTTAATTAAGTATGGAACGCCGTCACTACCTTATAGCAGAACACTTTG